AAAATATTAATATTGATGTACTATATTGTAATATTATAATATAAAATATTAGTATTCCTATATTATACCTATATTATTTGCTATAAAGGAAATAATTATTTACTTTATATATATTAATGTACTAGTATTAATATACTATATATATTTTAATATAATATTACAAAATATTAATATTGATGTACTATATTGTAATTTTATAATATAAAATATTAGTATTCCTATACTATGCAATAATAAAATATTAATATTAATAATTTTGTAGTATATACTAGTATACTAATATACATTAATATACCATAAATTTTAATATAATATTACAAAATATTAATATTGATGCACTATATTGTAATATTATAATATAAAATATTAGTATTCCTATATTATACCTATATTATTTGCTATAAAGGAAATAATTATTTACTTTATATGTATTAATGTACTAGTATTAATATACTGTATATATTGTAATATAATATTACAAAATATTAATATTGATATACTATATTGTAATTTTATAATATAAAATATTAATATTCCCATACTATGGAATAATAAAATATTAATATTAATAATTTTGTATTATATACTAGTATACTAATATACATTAATATACCATAAAATTATTAACATATTAATACTATATAATTATATTTAAAATTGCATATTAATGCATTAATATCAATATATTAAGATTAGTGAATAAAACAATAATAGTAGAAAATTAATTGTATAACAATTACTACATAATTAATTACACATTATATATCAATTACTAACACTAAGTATTAATTATATACTAACTAACATAGTCATACATTATTGCATACAATTATTTACAACATTGTTATTAAAAAATAATATTAATTTTACACATTGATTATACATAATTATTAATGAATTATTGATTTACCAAATTGTGTAACTCCACGCAAGAAACAAGAAACAGAAAATTATTCTTAATACAAGATATTTAGCACCAAATAAGTGCTTCGACTCTAAAATTTAACAAAATTTTTTAAATGAAATTAAGCACTTTGACCTGAGAACGAATGGAGTATCATTGTAAATAATTCTGTTGATTTCTGTGCTACGTGTTAATTTCCTATGTATTAATCGCTACATACGTATACCATCTTCAGGTCAACGTCAGTCAACCGAGAAATCACTCGTACAAGTCGAAGCTGAAAATTCTGAAAGCTACGGAGGAGGACCGCGAGACGAAACGACAAAGGTACCTGTCGGAAGAGATAGCCTGGACAGGAAAGGAATTTCAGAAGATCACCTGCGGAAATCCTGATCTGGAAACCGAAAGGATAGCCCTCACCTTGCCGCTTTTTAATTACACCTTGAGTTCACAGCCGTACAAGACCCTGAACGCGGAAGACTGCAGCAAGAGGTGCATCGTCACTGCACCTCGCAGGGAGATGTGCTCGAACACGAAGACAGTGATCGAATACAACGTTAGCCTGACTTTCTGGCTCTACTTTGTCATCAGGGTGTTTATTAGTGAGTATTAATTTTCTACCGCTTTCTTTTTCATTTGAAGAGAGAAAAATGGAACGAGGAGGAAGACCTGGAGAAAAAAGAAATATTTGGCGCAGTGAAATGTTGCAAAATAATTAGTATAATTGGTCGTTTCGAGTATTAATATCAGGATTACTTTTGTGGATGATATATAGGGTGTTGAATAAAAAGGGGCTAAGATTTTTAGAGATTTTACTATAGTAAGCACTAAGAAGTGTAAGAGACGTAATTAATATTTTTAAAATATTGTTAATAGTATTTGATTTACTTTTATGGGTTATATATAGGGTGTTGAATAAAAAGGGGCTAAGATTTTCAGAGATTTTACTAAATTAAGCACTAAGAAGTGTAAGAGATGTAATTAATATTTTTTAAATATTGTCAATAATATTTGATTTACTTTTGTGGGTGATATATAGGGTGTTGAAAAAAGAGAGGCTAACGTCTTTAGAGATTTTACTATAGTAAGCACTAAGAAGTGTAAGAGACGTAATTAATATTTTTTAAATATTGTTAATAATATTTGATTTACTTTTGTGGGTGATATATAGGGTGTTGAAAAAAGAGAGGCTAACGTCTTCAGAGATTTTACTATAGTAAGCACTAAGAAGTATAAGAGACGTAATTAATATTGTTTAAATATTGTTAATAATATTTGATTTACTTTTGTGGGTGATATATAGGGTGTTGAAAAAGGGGAGGCTAACTTCTTCAGAGATTTTACTATAGTAAGCACTAAGAATTGTGAGAAATGTAGTTAATAATATTTTGGTAATATAATTAATAATATTTGATATACTTTTATGGGTGATATACAGGGTGTTGAAATCAACTTAGATTATTTATGAATATTTAATATCTTGCTGTATCTTATGTAAGTTTCTTTGCAAATTATTGCAAACTTTAAATTGTTATATCTCGATATAACAACATATTGAATGTCGACGAAATATTGTTTTGTAAATGAAAATATGGAACAAATTTTCTTCGTTCTAATAAAATTAGAATCTATGTCTAAAAATAAGTCAAAAAGGAAGAATAAAATTTTTTTGTAGAAGGTTTCGTTTTGAAAAAAATTGTATTTCAATGTTCGTGGGGTGCGTTCAATCATATTCTAATTTTAAAAATTTTTGTGTAGACAATCTTTTGTACTATTCTATCGTTTAATCCACTTAAAATAGATGTAAAAATACTATAAACGAATAGGTACAGTCTATAGTAAAATTCATAGCGTTAAAACTCGAATAAAAGAATGCATACCCCACGAATTTTCGACTTTGATTTTCTCGAAAATAAAGCCTCAAACGAAAAAATTTTATTCTTCTTTTTCGACTTGTTTTTACAAGTAGAATCACCTGTTGCTTGATTATACCAACACTTACAACACATCCTGTATATCTCTCTTCTATTACTATTACGTGATATGCCATTACGTAGTGTAAATAATTTCATCGTATTTGAAATTGTTTCTCTCAATTTTCTGTTTCATAATTTCATCGTATCTTTATCTAAAATTCTGTTTTAAATTTCCTAAAATACTAAATTTAATTTTCATTTGAATTAATTTGTATTAAAATATTTAAAAATATATATGTATCATTAGATACATTATAATGGATTAAATATCAGCAACATATTAGCAACATATAGCTAAATATCATTGACTAAATTTTATCATAGAGATAGGCAACGAGTAAATCAGAAATGTTACGTAACTTGTTGCCATGTATAGCTTCATTTCAACGATACTGAATTTGCGGTTACGGTTGCAAACCTGTTTCCATTCACATTGTAGGATTTGCGTTTTTCATGATGGAGCTCGTTGTTATTGGAAGCTAGAACCCGTTTGCAGTGTAAAAACGAACTTGTAAGGTTACGTAATGTTAGTAAAAAATTGACTATACTACATGTGAAATTATACTTATTAAAAAAATATATTGTTCAGGATATATTAATACTTCGGTAGAAAATATAAAAGTAGAATTATCAGAATTCGCTAAAAAATTTAAATAAGAATCAATTAGTAATCGAATTAATTTAGAATTAACGTAAAATAAAAATTTAATTTGGGACTAATCAAAAGTTAACAGTCAATTTGTAATTAATTTTCATTAAAACAAATTTACTGTAGAAGTTAATTAAAAATTTTTAATTCGTTCAAAATTAATTTTCTCTGATATAAGTTTTGGGTAATTTAATCCAACGTTAAAAATTAATTTAGTATTAATTTCCAGTGAAATAAATGTTTATAACATTGATTTATTTTTAGAAATTAATTTAGAAGCAATTTCCACCAAAGTATAATAAAAATTAGAATAAAAAGTTAGAATTAATTTCCATAGAATTTAATTTAAAATTTAAAGTTAAGGTAAAATTAATAAGAAACTAACAATTAGTTAAAAATTGACTTAAAATAAAAATTAATTTTGGATTAATTAATTCAGAATTAATTTCTAGTGAAATAATTTTCTTTTACTTTCTACCATTTGCTTTTATTATCTATTTCAATATTTATTATGCAATTTTATTATTATCATCAGTTTTTAATTTCATTTTTTAATTATATTTTTTATTATTTATTTATGTTACATAATTCAGTATTTTTTTTAAATCCATTTTACATTTTATTACTTATTTTTCTATTTTTTATCATTTACTTTCATTATTTATTCCAATTTTATGTCCTTAATTTATATTATTTCTTATTTTTCACTAGTTGACTACTTTTTTTTCATTCGTTTGCTTTTTAGTTTAGGTCAATTATTATTCCCGTTACCTCGTTATTTAATTAGGTCAATAATTCACCTTTCTAGTCATAGCCATATATTCTGACACACTCTGTATAATGAATGATTTCAACACCGTTATGATCTAACGCTCATAAATACCTATATACAAAACCAATAACTATAGAATTGCTATACTATTACCATAAAAGAATTTTATAAAAAATTCAAAATTCATTCAGTTTAAAGATAACGAGTTTCAAACATTGAATTAAATTATTCTTGCAAATTGCAGACATAAATCATTTCGCAACGAAGTATATAAAAATGTTTTAATCGACATAATCGATTCGACATAATTGACATAATCAACAAAAGCATCTTGTAACGAGGATTTTAATGTCTGAGCTTTAATTGCAGGTGTCATTGGTGGAACCACGTTTGCTATGTTCGAGGGCGCAGTAATAGCGATATTACGCGAACAAAAGGCCGATTATGGTCTTCAAAGGATTTATGGCAGTATAGGTGGTATGATATCCTCGCCACTGTCTGGACTTCTTATCGATTATGCGAGTGCTGGCAAAGGTTACACGGATTTCAGGTGAAAACACATTTCTTGAATATTTCACTATTTTTCTTACATAGCTGTAATAGTTATTTAAATATTCTAATTAAAATTTTAGAGATTATTATAATTTCTTTTTAATTTTAATTGCAAGTTTTGCAATTTAGAAATTTAAAAATTATGATGGTTATACTGATATTTTGAGAGTGAGTTATATATAGTTATAAAAAGTTACGAATTTATGAATTATGGTTTATCTAATTGAGAGAACATTTTAGAATTTCGGATTATAAATTTTGAATATTTGGATTTCGAAATTTGGAATTTTAGATATTCATTTTCGATTTTTTAATTTTCAATTCTGAATGTTAAATTTTTAGGATTGCTTTTTACTTTCAAAATACTAGTTTATAGTATCCTATAATAATTTACTATAAAGCTATGTCGTTGAAGTTTACTTCTGTCCACCATAATTATATATTCCATTTATTTAACAAATTTATCAAAAATTTCTATCATTTATATCAAAGAAGCAAAATGTTATACAAAATTTCCTATATAATATAATGTTCGTAAAAGTGCATATAAAGGAACATTTAACAAACAAATTCTGTAACACGATATAATAAATTAATTGCAGCTACGGTTGAATAATACTCTTAATTTCACCCTGAAATTTCATAAAATTCTATAGATTTAATCTTTTCACGAGTGAGTACTGTAGCAGTCTTAAGACGACATTCCGCTTAACTCACTAGCGCCACCACGGTCCATATCTCCAATAAATGTATCGTATATATCGTGTATATCGTTGAATTATATTCTACCTTTACAAATATAATCTTGGAATCTTCTTGCTGCGCGTGTTATATTGTTTGCAGATTATTATTTTAATAAATTTTTCGGTCGTATATGTACAAAAGAAAATTATATTTATTTATAAGTATACAATGAGTAATTTTCCAGACCTGCGTTTTGTCTATACGCGGCTCTAAAGTTGATGTCAGGATTGCTGATGCTCGCCATTAATTTGGAATTCAAATCACCGGCCACGAATGTGATCAGCGACGTCTTCACCGTGCTGAGGAATATCGAGGCTGCGGCGCTCTTCATCGCTTGCTTTATTCTGGGTAAGAATACCTATTTCATATATTTACATAGCAGTAGATATTACTAATATATAGTAGCTAATATATATAATATAATAAATTGAATAAACATAATAAGAAATTAATGAGATATAATAAATTTTTCGAATATTTCATTCTGCCTAGGAATACTAGTATACTTTATTTACCATAATGTATTTACTTATTATTTACCATTATTTATTTCATCATAAGAATACCTATTTACCTCTCTTTATTTTCTAGGAATATTTTTATTTGAGTATATAGTAACAGATATCGCTAATAATAGTTAATAATAAATACAATAGATGTATTAAATATAGTGATGAATAATAAATTTCTGTTAAAGGTTCTTTTTCTATCCTCAACTATTTCCCAAATTATTTTTTTGGGGAACGATAATAAAAATTTAATTATCACATTATCACAGAATTAATTAAGTGGCTCTCCCTTATTTACTTACTCTCTTAGTTACGACACTGGTGTTAAGAAATATATAGGTGCGAATTTACATGAAAAAATAAGTCGAAAATGTAGAATAACATTTTTCAGTACGAGGCTCCGTTTTCGAATAAATCGATGTCAAAGATTCGCAGAATAGCCCCACCACTTGCACCCCACTCCTGCTACGTCACTGTTGCGTTGGAGCCGCCATTTCCAATTTTAACGTTACACGTGATCGAACAAATATCGAAATAAAATTATTTTTCCGTTAAATGCTTGTTCATCGTCTGTGTGTGGAGCCTACCCTCGTAACGATCTCATTCGTTTAACTTTCTTGCAAGTGAATGCACACCCCACGAATATTTAACATCGTTTTACTCGAAAACGAAGTTTCGTATGGAAAAATGTCGCTCTACATTTTTGACTTATTTTTTCACGTAGATTCATCCCCTTTCGTCTTAATTCGCTAGTACAACCTAACCTAACCTTGTATATGAAGAGTTAGTTGGAATAAAGGGTTAATAACTTAGTCAGGCGAAGTTAGCAAAAATAGACGTTCGAATAAGTTGCACAATCTTCGTTATTGCTCATTTCCGCCAATCTTTGGCACACTGGTCGACGAACGAAATTACACTGACATTGACATTCCAAATCGATTCCGCGAAATTCCATGCAACTTCTGACAAGAGATTTAGTTTTAAATAATTTTAACTTGATTATAATTATACTCTACGTTGTTAATGGTGATATAATAACGGGTTGTTCTAATTAATTTCGAATGTTAATTTTTTAATGTTAATTTAATTTTATTTCATTAATTTTTTAATTTCGAGTGTTAATTTTTTAATGTTAATTTAATTTTGCTTCATTAATTTTTTAATTTCAAGTATTAATTTTTTAATGTTAATTTAATTGTATTTAATTAATTTTTTAATTTCAAGTGTTAATTTTTTAATGTTAATTTAATTTAATTTAATTTAATTTAATTCATCAAGTGTTAATTTTTTAATGTTAATTTAATTTAATTTAATTTAATTTAATTCATTTTTTAATTTCTAATATTGATTTTTCCTAGCATTGGGAACTATTTCAGAATATGTTTTTTTTTTACTGGAAATTGTTTAGAAAATTTATTCATTTATGGAATTGTAGATTTTTGTTACGATGACTAATTTTATTATAATTTTATTACAATTTCTAGAAATTCAAATATGTGTTGTTATATTACCCTTAACTTTTTCAATTATATAAATATTTATATTCATTTTTAGGAGATTTCTTCAACTATTGAAGATTATTTTGGAATATATATTTTTATTGAAAATTGTTTAAAAAATTTAAAATATATTGTGTGACATAACTAGAATTATAAATATCAAAAATTTATTCGTTTAAGGACTTCAAATGATGCAATGATTTTTTGGGGCCAGGTATTTCAAACACTCAGAATGCATTCTTAAACTACGTCACTCGTTTCTCGACTTTGTCGTAAATATCCTTTGCACACAATCACTTTCGTCCTAAGTCCCAAACGCTCTTAACACGCTAAGCGTTACGCCAGTCCCTGGGGACCGGTGCTAGACTTCCCATTTGGGCCCGACCCAGACTAGGACCAAAAGGTGCTAACTTCTGGTGTTAAATTCTTCGCTACCTTTGGACCTAATGTTTGGGAATTCCTGTTATAACAATTGCGCCAGTGGCCCACTTGACGGTCGAGTCTGGGCCTGAACAGAACGGAAAGCAAAACGGACTGGGCACTTAACCCTTTCGCTACAGCTGGTGTCCGTGTCAAAGGTGGTTAGGTTAGGTTCGCGCAATCTTTAGCATTCGGGGCCAAGTCTTTTGAAGCAGAAAAAGAACAATTGATCATCGCAATAGTGCTTGCAATTCTAAAGAGAGCTAAGTGGAAAGGGAGCACTTGTCTTAATTCTTGGCTCAATTTTTGTGACCGATGACTATAGTCACCTGTCGTGTATAGGTGACGTTTCGTACCTGGGTGACTATAGTCACCCGTTATAGCAAAAGGGTTAACATTCTTTCGGTGCTGTACTCGTTCCAATCCCACATATATGTTTTCAGAGAATTAAATAAATATGGCTGCGTGTACCATGTATAGTACACGTGGCCTGAAGGTCAAGTTTAACGTGTTCCATAAATGGTACACGTGGCACGCAACGTGTTAACACTAAACTATGGTCTAAATCAGCATTTTCCAAACCTTCATTAAAAATTGAATTCATCATTGGTCAACGTTACTATAATAATGACTCGTCTTCGCGAGTGATTTTTCTCCCAGTATATGTATAGTCATTTTCTCAGTATCTCTCATTATTTCATTTTATAAAGCTTCTATTTCTTTTCTATTCACTGGTTACTTGATTATGGTAGATTTAGTGTTAACCTTTTGCGCTCGACGATTTTCTGACTAAAGAAGGGTACGAGTTGAAAAAGGTTCTGCTATAAGGCTCATGATATTTTCTGAACAGTAAATAGGAAATCGTATAATAATTAACACGTAGAATTATTTAATTTCGATACCTCGCACACTGTTACATTATTTTAAATTTCATATATTAATTAATATCGAGCCTCGAAATTTTACCAAGTAGCGACTGAAAGGGTTAAAATATTATTATCGGCTGAATTTCTCATACCTAACAATCTTCTGATCCTTGCAAAATCCTTTGCTTTTCCTGATCAAAATTGTTGGAGCTTAATGCATCCCGATCCTTCCGAAGTCGTTCTAGACTTTTGAAATTCGCGGTACGATACGGCGAAGAGAAGGAGGAAGCAGATCACCGATGTTCAGACGATATCTCTATCTAGATCCTGCTATCCCTGTTCTCATCGTTCGGCGGAGTCGCGTCGCTTTTATTGCTGCTGGTGCCGATAGGCAGGATAACAGTGGAATTTCCGGACAGAGTCGTTATGGACCTTGGCTGTACAGGGAATAACGGGTTGTTTTACACCATGAGCCAGAATCATCCTTGCGAGACGAGCTTGCAGTCCAAGATCTCCACGAGGATAGAGAGTTGCGGGTAGGTAAGGGCGAGTGTTTCAACGATTCTGCATTTGTTTCAAAGAGAGTTCTGACTGTCGATCATTCGATAGCTATTTTTCTACTCGAAATGCTTGTTATTTTCGATTTTGTATAAATAAATTCTTGTGTGAAATTAGAGAATTGATATTTCTTTGATGGGTGCAACTGTTGTTATGTTAAAACTTTTAAACTGGAGTCTTAATTTCTTGGAAATTTGTCAAGAAATAGTTTGTTTCAAAGATACTTAATTACTAATAATTAAGTATACATTTGTATAATTTATAATTACATTTAATTAATAATAATTAATTATAAATTTGGACTCTTTATTTGGACTCTTCATTTTTTAGTCGTATCAAGTAATAGTTTATTAATATTTTTATTATAGTTTAATATTATAATTAATATTGTTTTAGTTAGTTTCTTAGTTTATTAATATTAT